CGAGAGTAATTTTCACCCTGCCTCTTTGCACAAGAACGCCTTTCTAGACCTTCCCACCCTGGTTTGACTTCTTGGACGCTCACGTTCTTGGGGTGTTTTGGTCTGATGTTCCTGATTGCACATTGTTCCTTTTGCTTTGAATAGAATGATTGCCCTTTGAAAACGCCCCTACTTTTCAGGCATTGCCAGTAAGGCATTGGGGCACTTGGGATTTTCAAGGTAATCAAGCATCTACTCTGGCTTGTTAAAAATATGTTAGGAAATTATGTCAGTATTTTATTCTGTCACTGTACTTATCAGAGTGCTTAATTTTGTTTTTCCTCTTAACTAAATTGTAAACTCTGCCAGGGTAGTGTCTGAGACTTATTTCTGTGTGTCAACCCAGCAGCATCCTGCAGGCTGCCTGAAAAGAACAAGAATGCAAGAAATACTTACTCAAGTAACTGATTAAAGTTAAGTAAACAAACAAACAAACAAACAGACTCACTGCCATCAAGTTGACTCCAGCTTCTCGGGATCCTGTCCCTCGGTGTTTGGGACATTGTAAATCTTCAGGGGAGCAGGCAGCCTCATCTAAACCCCTCCAAGAGACTGGTGGGTTTGAACTACTGGCCTTGCAGTTAGCAGCCCAGTGTTTAACTCACAGTTGTTTCCAGGGCTCCTTTCTCAGAGATTGGGGCTGTGAACAAAGGACTTGCACTCCCGTGGGAGAAAAATTAGACTTTCTGTTCCCGTAAAGATTTTTACATCCTCAAAAGCCCAACTGGGCTGTTTTACCCTGTTATATTGGGTTGATGTGAGGGGAAATCAACTCAATGGCATTGCGTTTGATATCTCCTCTTCCTTTTCCTCCTCCTCCTTCTGATATCTCTGTTCAGACTTGTAATTACTGAACATTTTTATGGACACAATTAATTAGTTAATATGTCCTGCTAATGATAATAATAAATAATAATTCCTACAACTATCCACAGATACTGAGCATTTATTGTGTGCCACTTTATGCACATTATTCCTGTAAGTCCACACAACATCCCAGTGGAATACCCTCTTTCATCACATCGTGAGCCATCATAAGCTTCTGCCCCTTGCCCCTCCTCCGCATCTGTGTCATAGGCTTCTTGAGGGACTCTGTAGTCTCCACTTTTCTCAAAGCGCAACTCAGTTCTCCTGCTCTGTGGTTCTCTGGCTTCCTTCTGGCTTGTCAAGATTACCCATTAATATTTCTAGGAGTGGGAAGAACTAGTGAAATGTCAAGACAGGGAAATGCTGGAGACCTGGCAACTGGCCGGACAATGACCTCTTTTGAGATTGCTTGGCTGAAATTATTTTGCAAGGGATCTTTTTTTAAAAAAAATCATTTTATTGGTGCTCATACAACTCTTATCACA